TACTTAGATAACTCGGGTTCATTTCTGTCATTTGATGGTGTGTATTTACCATGCTTGACTATTTTTCCTTTCCTTTTGGTGGATTGATAAAGGCTGTTTTTTCTTCTTCTGTAATTTTAAAGTTAGTAGTCTCTCTGTTCTTGTAGTCTAGAATGTTTTACTGCACAGTCTTTATATTTGTATTTCTTGTACAAAGTGCGTAGAGGTACTGTAAGGAAAAGAAAGAAAGACAAAGGAGAGAGTCTTGGCTTCAACAGCAGACAGGTTTATTGAGAGTAAACCTGGGAGGGGATACTCTTAAGTCACCAAAGGAGATCAAGAGCCTGTTTGTTCTCTTACAGACTGGGGTATTTAAGGCGGTGTGGTCTGGGTACAGTTCTGGTGAGTTTACAATGGGCGGGGGTATGGAGATTTTCCTGAAACCTGGAATTACCGGGGTGGGGGAAGGGTCTCCAGGTGTAACAAAGACCCAAGCTTCCTGGGAGACCAGAAGCTCAAGCAGGACCCCATTGAGTGCCAATTGGGCTAGTTGCAAGGTCCTTCAGTTACTTAGTATTTATATTCCCACCTCCACCCAGTATCCCCCGGAGTTCAGTTCAGTTTCTTTTGTAAACATCACTCATTTCTTAGTGCATCTAGGTTGGTAGTGCCCAGGGTCTCCCACCATAGCTTCCTGTCTGTGATTCTTCTATTGGGGAACTTCTCTGGAGATGCTCACTGAGAGGTTCCCTCCTTTGGGTGAGCCTGTGTACCGCTTTCCTTTTGTCATCTTTTCTGTATTGCCATTGGATTAGGAGCTTTAGGGATGCAGTCATTAAGTGCTTGGCTACCAACAGAAAGATTGGACACTCCACGGGAGAAAGATGTTGCAGTCTTCTTCCATAAACGTTATATTGTTGTAAAGTACTACTGACTCTGTTCCGAATCATAGTGACCCTGTATAGGGTTTCCGAGGAGCGGCTGGTGAGTTTGTACTACCAACCTTGCAGTTCAAACCAACCTTGCAGTCCAGTGCTTTTCCTACAGTGTTCTGACTCACAGTGATCCTGCATAGGGTTTCCAAGAAGTAGCTGATGGATTACAACCACCAACCTTGCAGTTCTCAGTCCAGTGCTTATCCTACAGCCCCATACCAGGAGTCCATAAAGGTTATACAGCCTTGGGATCTGGGACAGGTCTAGGCTGTCCTCTAGGAGGCGTTGGTTATGATTTGGATTCTGGGACAGGTCTATGCTGGCCTGTAGGAGGCTTTGGTTATGAGTTGGATTCTGGGACAGGTCTATGCTGGCCTGTAGGAGGCGTTGGTTATGAGTGGGAATCGACTTGATGGCAGTTGGTTTGGGATTTTGTTTGTTTTTGGAATATGACACAAGCAATGAGATGTTAGTTTTAGGACCTGCAAGAGGCAGGATTTTGTGCATTCTTTTACTTTCCTTTAAAAACCACATTATAACTTGCCCAGTGAAGGAGGCTTCCTGCCGAGTCTCTGAATTGCATAAGACATAGGTGGAATCCTGAACCCCATCCAGAATCTTCTGAAGTGGGAAATCTCCACTTCAAAGGACAAGCAGACCAGCCTGGAGTGGCTAGAAGAACAGAAGATACTTCTTGAAAGAAAGGCTGATAGAAAAAAAACAATAACAGCAGTTCATCTGACTACTACTATAAGAACAAGCAAGTTGCTCTCCCAGGAGACATCAAGGCATCAAGTCCCCTCAGGGCAAACCCCCTTCCAAGACTAAGACTCAGTGGGAATATATGCTCTGATTGGTGACCACGTTCGTCATCGATAAGGGGAAATGAGGGAAAAACAGCAATGCAGCTGCAAGCTAAGTCCAGCCACGTTCAGCCTGTGAACCCAGGTGGAGACCTGGCTGGCCAGCAGTGTGGCAAGACCTGGGGACTCTTGGTCCCAGAGTCAGTGACATAGCCACAGAGAGCTAGAGTGAAGAGTGAAACGTCCAGCTGATAAGCAAGGGGATATGCACAATAACACCCACACTTGCAGATAATACCCACTTGACCTGGCTTCACTGCCTGGATGGTCCGAACTCAACTAGAAGAAGAAAGAAGAGGGGGAAAAAAAGAATAATCAGTTACAGTTTGATGAACTTGACCTACACCTGTGGATGCAGTAGCTCAAAAGAGGGAATAAATACTTACAGTGAGGTTCATTCCCATTCCCTCGATACACAGGATAGACGGATGAGCTACCCAAAATGGTGGGGCTACAAAGGCAAGAAGTGACTGGCTTGCAAGCTTTCAAAAGGGAGCCTAGATCCAGAGGGTGCAGAGGAAGGTAGAATCTCCACTGAGTAGTATCCAATCTGTATGGGCGGGGCTGATGAAAGGAGATGGGGATAGGTCTCTTGTGGTACAATAGTGAATAATTGATATCAGAACTGACTCTGAGGGTTGGAAATGTAAAGGTAGACGTTTTGTAGCAAAAAGAAGGGAGTGGTTGACTTTGTAGTCCAGGAGTAGAGGTCCCTGGGACCATCAGGGGAGAAGAGCGAAATGTGGGACCCTACCCAGATAAAGTGATGCCAGAGATGGAGGCAGACACAGTGACGTGGAGAGATGGAGTGGCTAGGGACTCGACCCAGAGAAGGGAGAGGGGCTGTGTGCTGACAAGGGTGCAGGCTTGCAGGGTATACCCTTTGGTTGTTTGATGATGTATGGAGGGGATTATAATCATGGCAGTGAAACGATATACGATAGGATGAATGTAAGCTAATGTTCTCCCATGTAAACTATGACATAAATTCACAATAAAACATTAAAAAAAAACTGTTATAAATGACATTTAGATACTGTTCATGGTGTGGTTATGGTATTATGATGTTGGAGAATATTGAAAGTGCCAAGAACCAACAGATCCATGTTGGAAGAAGTGCAGCCAGAGTGCTCCTTGGAGGCCAGGATGGCCAAACTTCATCTCTTGTACTTCGGACATATTGTCAGGAGGGACCAGTCGCTTATCATGTTTGGTAAGGTAGAGGGGTCAGAGAAAAGAGGAAGACCCCAGCGAGATGGGTTGGCTAAGTGGCAACATCAATGGGCTCAAGCGTGGCAACAGTTGTGAGGTTGGCCAAGGACTGGGCAGTGATTCATTTTGTTGTGCATAGGGTCGCTGCTCGACTCAATGGCACCTTACAACAACAATAACATGGTGTGGTGCTGTGAGTTAATGTGCTAGACTCAAAAGTCAGTTTGAACCGCAAGGTTGGTGGTTCAAGCTCACCAGTCGCTCCTGGGAAACCCTATACAGGGTTGCGATGATTCAGAACTGACTCAGCACTTAACAGCAACTACATGGTAGCCTTGGTGACCTGAGACTTGGCTTTCCTCTGGGTAGTTTTGAGATCTGCTCTTGGGATGGCAGTCACATAAGAGTTATTTGTCCACTTTTGTAATTTCCCCTGGAGCAGGACGTTCTGTATTTTGTAACAGTCAAGGAAGAAAACAAGCCCTCCCGAACTTCTCGATAGAAGTTTGCCAGAGGCATTTTGCAACAAACTGAACATGGAAAGTTTACAATTTGTCTAATTTATTTTCAGAGAAATCTGCACAAGCAGCTTACCTTAAAAGCAGTGGAGGGTGGCGGGGGGTCGTGTGTGCTGCTGTGTCCACTCAGACATATAACAACCTGGATAGGGTTTCTGAAGGAGCTTTGGTAGCGTAGTGGTTACAATGAGGCTGCTACCCTCAAGGTCAGCACTTCAAAACTGCCAGGTGTTCCAAGGGAGAACGATGAGACTTTCTGCTCCTGTAAAGATTTACAGCCTCGAAAAACCTCATCTTTCTCCCATGGAGCGACTGGTAGATTTGAATTGCTGACCTTACAGTTAGCAGCCCAGTTCATAATCCACTACACTACCAGGACTGTTTAAAAGCAGTAGGTACAAGGAACAGTTCATGGGAGTTCAGCTGGAGATGATTAAAATAAAGGGTTTGGGAAAAGCAGATAGAAAAGGGGTCAGCTGGGAAGACTGGTGAAGCTGGCGGGTGAGCATCTTGTTGAGCGAGCTCAGCATGTTCAAGGACATGGTGTAGCCAGGGCTTCAAACCCTTCCACACTGGTTCAGTGATGGCCGGAAAAGCAAAATTAGAACGTACTCAATTTTTCAAACTTTGCGGTTAGGTGGAAATACAACGGGAACTGGAAAAATGATTGAGTCAAAAGTCCTGGGAAGAGCCATTTTGGGAGCCTGAGGTAGGATATGAGGTTATTGACAGGAATGTGGAGAGAGACACACCTTCAAGGAGGCTCAGCAGGCAGCCATCATTTTGCTAAGCACCTGTGTTTCCAGTGTGCAGGTCAAGGGATTTGCGTGCTGTGCAGGACATCGCCCCATAAGACTTCCTGTTTCAGTCATCATTCCGGTTCACCCATGTTTTTACAAATTTGGGCCCACTCTGGCTTTGCTCTATGGGTCTTGACTGAGCCAGGAAGAAGTGGTTTGAAGCCCTGGGAGTCGGCATACAGTGGAGGATTGAAGGGTGGGCTCTGTGGTGAGATAGATGGGAGAGGTAGGCAATGGTTGGTTTAAATCATAGACTCTCAGGTCTTTCACCAGTAAATTGTAGGTTCTTGGTTGGAAATAAGTCATTAAAAACATGAAAACACTTTCCTGTTATTCTTGCAAAGGTGTTAAATGAGAGGGATGGTATTGGACTCAGAGATTACTCTCTCTGTTGAGTTGGTCTGCCGTGATATTCTTTAGAATTTGGACTTTGTGCTTATCAATTGAGACATTTTCTTTTCACTATTTTCTTGCCATGTAAGCCAGGTTTTGATACCAAAGAATGTCTGTTTTGGAATAGTTAATGGGAATGATCTGTTATGTAAATATTTGAAAGAGCACACCTGGACCTCTAATTGTATTTTTGTAATTAAAAGTTGCCTTTTAAATACATTTCTTTCTTAGACTTCCGTGAATGTTAAACTACCAGTTAATGTGATGTCAAGGTATAATTCAGAAGCAGCTGCTTGTAAAATGGCAGAGCCCTTTAATTTTGAGAAAAATGAAAGCAAGCTTGCACTACCCAGTTCTTTAAGAAGTCCCGGAGGACATCCGAATCATCCTAATTTCAGATTGAAAAGTCCAGAGAGTGGAAACAAAATAAACAGTTTTTTGCTTTGTGAACAAACCAAATCATATTTGGCTAGTCAGGAAGATATTTCAGTATCTTCAAGCCCTAATGGCATCATTGGAGAAGTGGTTGGATCCAAAGGAGACAGGAAGACGTTGCTCACAGGTGAGAGAAAACCTTTCTATTTCCTGATTCTGATGGTTTGGGGGACTTATCACATATCCACAATGGGCTATTAACCTGGTCCACCAGTGACCACCTGGTGGTATTTGCAGTTAAATGTTAATTTAGAGGGAAGAACCTTTTATCTAATATTAGCTCCTTTTGTCTTGACTGATCATGAAAGAATTCCTAGGGAAATAATATCTTCTTCCTGAGAAGAGAATCATCAGCAGATGAGCTGTGTTTTCCATAATCAAATAATCAGGCAAGAAATGTAGAATAGAAAAGAAGTCTGGTATCTCATGAGTGTTGTAAAGATGTTTAAAATGCCATACCAATGTTATGCATATAAAAGCCCGCTGCCATCAAGTCCAACTCGTAGTTGACCCTGTAGAGAGAGTAGAATTTCTCCTAGGGTTTCTGAGGATGTAAATCTTCCAAGGAAGCCAACTGCTACATCTTCCTACTTTTGGTTCACGGCCAAGCACTTAACCACTGTGCCACCAGGGCTCCTTTACCCACTGCCACTGAATGCATTCTGACTAATAGTGACTATAGATAGGGTTTCCAAGACTGTAAATCTTTTAGAGATCAGGTAGGCAGCCTGGGTAGCAGCAGCACAATGCCTAACCCACAGCACCTCCAGGATTGCTTCCATGCATATTGTGCAGTGCCATTGACTGGTTTCTGACTCAGTGACCCAGTGTAGGGTTTCCCAGGAGCAGCTGGTGGATTTGAACTGCCAACTTTATGATTCAAACTGACCTTGCAGTCCAGTGCTTATCCTACAGCAGCACCACACCAGGACTTTTAATGTATGTCTGTGTTGTTGTTTTTGAGTTTGTTCCGACATAGTGACCCTGTATAGGAGCAACTAGTGAGCTTGAACCGCTGACCTAGCAGTTCAAACCAACTTTGCAGTCCAGGTAATTAACCCACAGTGCCACACCTGGACTCCTTTATGTATATGTTGTTGTTGTTGTTAAGTGCCACCGAGTTGATTCTGACCCACAGAGACCCTGTATAGGGTTTCCAAGAAGCAGCTGGTGAGCTTGAACCACCAACCTTGTAGTTCAAATGACATTGCAGTCTGGTGCATTAACCTACAGCAAGCGCCACACCAGGACTCCTTATGTACATACTAGTAGATCTACTACTAATGCTACTGTATACATAAGGAGTCCTGGTGTGGCGCTGTGGGTTAATGCACCAGACTCTAACATGGGCTCCTACTGTTGTACTGTGCTTAGACTGCAGAGTCGTTTGAACTACTGGTCAGTGGTTCAAGCTCACCTACTGTTCCTTGGGAAACCTATACAGGGTTGCTGTGGGTCAGAACCGACTTGACGGCACTTAACAACATCTTATTTGAAGACATTGGGTCCCCGATACTTAGATTTCCTTGATAAAGGTGGATGGTGATACAAACAAATGTGAAATGTTTGGAAGCTCTGTACAACTCAATGAACTGTGTTTTTCCAAGTAACCAATACATAATGTCACACAATTAAGTATAAAAGCCCACTCAAGTACAAGATGAGCCAGTGAATTTAATGTAGCAGTGTGGAAAGTTCATTGATGGGGTTTTAGATTCCGCATTGCAGCTAACCCATAGGAAACTATTAGTTGTTGAGTTTTTTGTGATAGCAATGAGAGAATATCCACAATTATCCAAGGAGGCCATTAAATAGTTTTTCTTGATGTAACTCATCTTTTCCTAAGACCTACTTGTCTTTGAAGGAGCTCTGGTAGCATAGTGGTTACGAATCAGGATGTTAATCTCATGGTCAGCAGTTCGAAACTACCAGCTGTTCCGTGGGAGAAAGATGAGGCTTTCTGCTCCTGTAAAGCTTTACAGCCTCGGAAACCCTGTACAGGGTCATTATGAGTTAGAACCAACTCCACGGCACATAACAACAACAACTTGTCTTTGGAGTCTAGGCGAGGCGCTGTGGGTTAATGCGCTGGGCTGCAAAGTCGGTTTGAAATGCAAGGTCGGCAGCTCACGCTTACCAGCCGTTCCTAGGAAACCCTATATGATGTTGCTATGGGTCAGAACTGACTTGATGGCATTTAACAACAACATTGAAAAAGTAAGACACTGCTTATTGACTAGTAGGTAGCATAGATTCAGGGCTACCAGAATGTAGCCCTTCTAATTTGAGTATCAATTATGGCACTTTGCACCTTTAGGAATAGCAAGAAAAGACTTGGCTTTCTTTAAAAATTGTTTTTCTTCCCCAGGAAATCCAGTGTTACCATTAAATGCTGGGAATATTTCACCACCCAAAAACATAAATGCTGTAAGTTGCATGCTTTTTGTTTGTTTGTTTTTTTGGGCTGTGTGTGTATCTGTTTGGTTAAAAATGTTTCAAGTATATTTTTTGTATTGCTTTAGTAATTATTCAGTTTTCAGGTACCAGTCAAAGTCAAACTTCTTCTTATTCTTGATTTACTATCTTTTATTTATTTATTTTATTTTTTTGTGTGTGTTTTGTTTTTCAAGGTTTTTATTGTGAATTGAGTGAAAGGTTACAGGGCAGATCATCAGTTTTACATTCAACAAATCATATACCTTCTTTTATTACAATGATTATAATCCCTTCTATGTACCATCAGTTAACAGTATTTCTCTCTAGTCACTTTAGCTTCTTTTATTATTTTTTTAAACACTCAGGAATATATAATAATTTACACCACCAAAGGGCACATTCTGCAAGTCTGCCTCTTAGCCGCCATCTCTTAGTCCTCTCTTCCCATGAATCTAGAGTATTTATTTTTTAAGTTTATGTACAAAACAGAGTCCTGGTGTGGCACTGGACTACAAAATTGGTTTGAACTGCAAGATTGGTGGTTCAAACTTGCCAGTTGCTCCTTGGAAACCCTATATACGGTCACTCTGGGTTGGAATCTACTCGATGATATGTAACACAACAACAATGTACAAAATATGGAGTCCTGGTGTGGCACTGCAGGATAAACATTGGACTATAATGTTGCTTGAGCCGTGAGGTCAGCGGTTCAAACTCACCAGTCACTCCTTGGAAATCCTATACAGGGTTGCTGTGAGTCAGAACCAACTCAACAGCACTTAACAACAAATGCACGAAATACTGCATAGAGACTCCATGTTCCCTTTATCTAGTCTCCCCGAATGGGAGCATCCTGAAGAAGTGTGATACAATCTCAGAAGAACAGATGTGGATGACGCCTGGCCCTTTATCTAGTCTCCCCGAATGGGAGCATCCTGAAGAAGTGTGATACAATCTCAGAAGAACAGATGTGGATGACGCCTGGTGTGGCGCTGTAGCATCAGCACTGACTGCAGACCACAAAGTTACAGTTCAAACCCACCAGCTCCTCCTCAGAAACCTTATTCAGGTTCGCTGTGAGTCAGAATCCATTCATTGGCACTTCAAACAACAACAGTGACCACAGACATTGACGCGGTAACAATACAGAATGTTTCTATTCCAGCAAGGGTCCTTTACGTTGCCTTTTTGTGGCCTTTATAACAGCTTGCCTCCCACCCTCTACTTCCTCCTTATCCTCTGGCAAGCACAGTTGTTTGGACTTGCTGTCATCTCTGGAGACTCACTGGGTTTGTTGCTTCTCATATCAGCACTATGATCTTTTGTATGTCTGAGAGCCATGGTGTGGCGCTCTAGGAAAAGCACTGAACTGTGAATCATAAAGTCAGCAGTTCCCACCCACCGGTCACTCTTGGAAACCCTATACAGGGTCACCATGTGTGGGAACCAACTCAACGACACATAGGAACAACAGTCAGTAGTCTGTGATATGGATGGATGGACACCGCCTGCGTTCAGCCTCTGAATTACATCTGGGTGGGTTGCCATTTTAACTGCTACAGATCAAAGTGTTACAAATTTTCCTATACAGTTTAGTGTGTGAAGACAAGTTTTATTGCTCAGGGATAATCGTCCAGGGTGCAACTGCCAAATCACAGAGCAGTTCTCATGTTTCGTTTTGTTTTTGTGGTTTTTTTTTCAAAGAAACAGCCAGTTCTCCAGAGTGGCTGTACCATGTTGCATTGCCACCAGTAATTATGAGTGAACCAGTTTCTTTGCTTCTCTTCCAGCAGTTGGTGGGGGTTTTTATTTTCTCCAATTCTGGTGACATTGCTCAATATATCATTGAAAACTATCATATCACATGCAAGTAAAATTTTTCTAAAGATAATTTTTAAATGCTTACAGCAAGCAGTACATTGACAGAAAGCTACCAGATTCACAAGCAAACATGGAGTGAGAGATATCATTGGTGACATCAGATGGATCTTGGCTAAAAGCAGAGAATACCAGAAATACGTTGATTTGTTTGATTCGTGTTTTATTCACTGTGGGAAGGCTTTTGGCTGTGTGGATCATAACAAACTATGAATAACGTTGCAAAGAATGAGTATTTCAGAACGTTAAATTGTGCTCAGGAGGAACTTGTACATAGGCCGAGACAGTCATAGAAACAGAACAAGGTGATACTGACTGGTTTAAACAAGAAACATGTGTGCTAGGGTTGTTCAGTCTGTATGCTGAGCAAGTAATCTGAGAAATTGCATTATGTGAAGAAGACTGTGGCATCAGGATTGGAGGAAGACTCATTAACAACCGGGGGTATGCAGATGATACAACCTTGTTTGCTGGAAGAGAAGAGGACATAAAATATTTATTGATGATCAGTGACCACAGCCTTCAGTATGGATTATAACTCAGTGTAAAGAAAACAAAAATCCTCACCACTGAACCAATAAATGCCATTATGCATTATGATAAATGGAGAAAATATTGAAGTTATCAAAGACTTCATTTTGCTTGGATCCACAATCAACACTCACAGAAGCAGAAGTAAAAAAAATCAAGTGACATATTGTATCAGGCATATCTGTTGCACAAGAGCTCTTTAAAGCGTTCACGAGTAAAGATAACAGTTTGAGAACTAAGATGGCATTTCATGTGCTTTAGATGCATATGAAAGTTGGACCTTCTATTAAGTAAGACTGAAGAAGAATTGATGAATTTGAATTAGGGTGTTGGAGAAGAATATTGAAAATCCTGTGCACTGCCAGAAAAAACAAACACATCTGCTTTGGAAGAATTGTAGCCAGAATGCTCCTTAGAAAGCAGGATGGTGAGATCTTATCTCTCGGTTTTTGAACATGCTATGAGGAGGGACCAGTCCCTGGAGAAGGACCTCACTCTTGGTAAAGTGGAGGAAAAAGAGGAAGGACCCTGTTTTTTGAGATGGATTGACGTAGTGGCAGCAGCAGTGGGTGCTTGAGCATAACAGTTGTGAGGCTTGCAGACGGGCGGGGTTTCTTTCCCCTAGGGTTGCTATGAGTCGGAATCTACTTGATAACACCTAACAACAATTTTCTTAGGTGTGTAGTGACATTTTATTGTGGTTTTAACTTATATTTCACTAGGAGTCCTGGTGTAGCGCTGTAGGATAAGCACTGAACCATAAGTTCGGTTTGAACCTCAAGATCAGTGGTTCAGACTCACCAGCTGCTCCTTGGAAACCCTAGACAGAGTCGCTGGGAGTCAGAACCGACTCAGTGGTCCTTAGCAACAATGGCTAGTGATGTTAAAGATTATTTTATATGCTTATTTGTCATCTGTGTATCTTCTTCGGTAAAACATTTCTATATGTCTTTTGCCTGGTTTCTAGGGCGGGGTTTTGGTTTTTTTTTTTGAGTTTTGAGTTTTGAAATATTCTTCATATATTCTAAATGCCAATCCTTGATCAAATATGTAGTTTTGTCTTTTCATCCTCTAACAGGATTTTTGCTGTAAGAGGGGAAGCTTAATTACCCTAAGACCGTGGCCCCAGCCACCTACTCTGTCCCAATTTTCTGATGCCACATTGGTGGGAGGAGGGGACATCCTGGGAGCCTGATGAGCTTGGACGTCTAGGCTTGCCATTCTACCTTTGCTGGTGGCATTAGCATTAGGGCCATAGTTTTTTTTCTGTAGCATTTGTCTGGAGTTCTTCACCCAAAATTCTCTTGGTAGATCTGTGGGATAAGCAGTGGAATGCTCACCAGAAGGTCATTGGTTCAAACCTACCGGCTACTCAGTGGGAGAAAGATGAAGCTCCTGTAAAAACTTCCAGTCTTGCAAACCCTGAGTAGGGTCCCTGTGGATTGGAATCAGCTGGGGGGCAGTGGGTCTGGGTGACTGGAATAGAGCGGTTAGTATCTAAAAGTTTTCTGTCTTGCTGGGCTACCCCTATTTGTTGAGGTTTTGTGTGTGTACCTTTGTGTATTTCCAGGCTGCCTGCTTCCCCAGCACACAGTCTGGGACAAAAAGAAAATAGGGAAAGGTCTGCCAGCTTCAGCTTCTCAGAAGCAGCAGTTCCAAACCTAGTTGTGTTTTTGTTTGTTATTACTAAGTGTTAATATTGCTATTCTTTTCTCTTAACTAGAAGCCTAACAATAATGTGCCTCCTGCAAAGTCAAAAAAAGTACACAAGTTGGTTGAGAATTCCTTATCTATAAACAACCCAGCACTCTTCAACTCCCTAGGACCTCCTCTCCGGTCCACAACTTGCCATCGCTGTGGCCTGTTTGGTAAGCGTGTTGTGCTTAGAAGCCTGTTGGGTGATTTCTCTATACATTAAAAAATAGAAAGAAAGAAATATATTACAGAAAATTTTAAACACATAGGGTAAGCACTGGACTTCTAACCAAAAGGTTGGTGCTTCAAGCCCACCAGCTACTCCTCGGAAACCCTATAAAGGGTCACTCTGAGTCGGAACCAACTCAACAGCACAGAACAACAGCCGCAGCAGCTAATGATGCTGAACATCTTTTCATGGGCTTAGTGGCATGTGTATCCTTTTGTGGAGACTTGTCCAAGTCCTTTGTCCATTTTTAAATTGGGTTGTTGATCTTTTGTTGTTGAGTTGTAGGTATTCTTTATATATTCTGTGTGTTCAATTCTAATCAGATCTAAGATTTGCAAACATTTCCTCCCATTGTATGGGTTCTTTTCATTTTCTTGGTGTAATGTTCTCTGATGTACAAAAGTTTTTAATTTAGATGAAATGCAATTTATTCTGACGTGATGCAGTTTATTCTGACTTGTTGCAATTTATTTTGACTTTTTGGTGTCATATCTAAGAATTCATTGCCAAATCCAAGGCCATGAAGGTATATCCCTATGTTTTCTTCTAAGAGTTTTGTGGTTTTAACTTAGATTGAGTCCTGGGTCCATCTTGTCCATGTGTGAGGTCCAGGGGTCCGGCGATTGTTCCCTTTGTAAAGTGTGCCGGGAGTGCTTTCCGGTCTGTCTCCCATTTGTCCTCCCTGTCTACCCTCCCACTGCTTTTCATCTTTCCTTTTTTCCTTGTATCTTGAGAAAGCTTTACAGGGTTAATCTTAATACTGATTTCTGCCCTCTTCCAAGGTCTTATGAAAGCACCCAGTGAGAAACAGCGCAGTTTCTTCACCTAGTCTTTTTGGATGTGATTAGTAGAATGTGGTTTGATATGGCTGGACATTGAACCCTTGTGCTCTTGACCGCAGATACCTGGAGTGATGCACTGACTGTGTTGTGTTCCTGTAGGATCACTGAGATGCTCACAGTGCAAGCAGACGTACTATTGCTCCATAGCATGTCAGAGGAGAGACTGGTCATCTCACAGCATCGTGTGCAAACCTGTGCAGCAAAAGTAAGTTGGTTCGTTTTTTAAAATGTTGATGGTTAGTGTCTGGCCTCCTCTGACTTCACCAACAGGAGGCAGAGAACCACCATCAGCATCCCCCTTGACTCCTATGAAGACGTCTCTCCATCCTATAGCCTCTTTTACCAATTTGGACACCAACCACCCCTCCCAAGGCATGCTGCTTTCTCTGCTGGGCTCGGGCTTTATTAGGGAAGTGAAGCGGGTCCAGATAAGGATCAGAAATGCTCTGGACACAGGTCCTCCTGTTGGGACAGCTTCTTCTCAACCGTGCCCGCAGGAGTCCGACTCTGTCATGTGACCCCATGGCCTTGGCCCTCCTTATGCGCTGCTCATAAATGCCCAGAGAGTCCTCTGCTGTGCCCTCGGTTGTACTGTCCAGTGGGCCAGGAGACCCGCCGCTGTGTCTTGTGCTCTTGGTTTCTCTGCCATTGAGTCTGTTCCAACTCACAGCGACCCTGTAGAGGGTTTCTGAGGAGTTCAAACCGACCTTGTCACCCAGTGCAGTAATATTAAACACATTTTTCTGACAGATTAAAGATCAAACCTATGTACAAGTTGTAACTGTCTTATTTACGCATAAGGAACCATTGTGGCACAGTGGGTTAAGCACTGGGCTGCTAACTGAAAGGTTGGGGGTTTGGTTCAAACCCAGCAGCTGCTCTGTGGGAGAAAGACGAGGCTGTCTGCTCCTGTCAAGATTTACAGTCTCAGAGATGCCAAGGAGCCACTCTGCTCTGTCCTGGAAGCCGTTGTTGGTTAAATGTTAGACTGAGGGAGAAAGGTGAGGCAGTCTGTTTCCATAAAGATTTATGGCCTTAGAAACCCTATGGGGTCTCCTATAGGTTTGCTATGAGTTGAGTTGAAATAGCAATTCATACCATATATCAAATCAGCAGTGTGTATATCAAAACATAAAGTGGACAAATCTGAAGTGAAAAGCTGCGAATTTAGGAGTTGTGAATAGTCCTAGTGTGGCGCTGTGTGTTAATGCGTCAGACTGCAAAACTGTTTGAACTGCAAGGTCAGTGGTTCAAGCTCACCAGCTGCTCCTCGGAAACCCTATACAGGGTCGCTATGGGTTGGAACCAACTCGATGGCACTTCACTACCACCACAACAACAAATATAGTTTCACTAGACAGTAAGTAGTAGTAAGTAGTAGTAAGATTTAGGACCCTAAGTGAGTTTGCTGTTTTAATGGACCAAGCGTTAGAATGCCTTACTTTTAATCATGTATATAATCTGAATTGTAATAAGGTAGGACTCTCAGAGTATGTCTCTAAAGCCAGCACAGATGAGTTGTGCTTTTAAAATACTTAAATATGACTGGTGTAACATTTACCATATTGCAAAACAGTGTCACACATGTAATCTCATTTAAATCTCTAAACCCTGTTGAGGTAATGTAGTGATATCTCTGTCATACAGATGAGAAAACTGAGATTTCGGAATTGTGACTGTCTCCTCGTCATTAGGAGACATTAGACTTCTGGAAGTAGGGCACCTATGTCTGTCTGTACAGGGTCTGTTACTGGCTAGCCGACATTGGAATGTTTTGCTTTAGCACCACTACTATGATTCTCTCTGCTTTTGCTTTTTGTGGATTTTGTCCATTGAGAATTTAACACAGACATAATTGGAGTGCTGGTGTGGCACTGTAGGAGAACCACAGGGTCAGCAGTTCAAACCCACCAGCCACTCCTCAGAAACCCTATGCAGAGAGGGTTGCTTTGAGTCAGAAGCAACTTGACAGCATTTAACAACAGCACTAACAGACATTTTTTAAGTGTAAATATTATAGTCCATTGGGTTTTTCTTTTTTTCAGTTTCCACAAACCTGAAGACAATAATTCACCTTTTGAAATAAACAACATGGAAGTGAAAAATGAGGTATAGTGTGCTTATTCATTGTCTTTAGAATAAATTTTTAATGACTCCTCATTACTACATTGAATAGTTAAGATAAATTAAATATTTAAAATTGATACATTTCACCACTCTTTATTTAAAAACAAAAGTTCCCCGTTTTTAATGAATCTGTGTACATCAGTCATATATAGTGATTGTTGGGGTCTTTGAGAATTGTGTATTTCCAGTCTTTTTCCAGAATGGACTTGAGATGGCTGCATCTCAATGTAAAATCCACCTGGACTGCTAAAGTATGGTCCATTCTTTTCATAGTCCCTGCGTCCATCCACAAGTTGTGTCGCTCTGTGTGCTGGCTTCTGGTAGGGTATAGTTAACCTGTCTAAGGGAGGATTGTTCTGTGAATATCTGTTCTCCAGTTAGATCATCCATCACATCTATCCAGCTCATGTTTGTAGTTTTCTTTTAGCCTCTTCTAGCTGTGCCTCTGCTATTTACAAAAAAAAAAACAAACACAAATCCAATTTCCTCAAATTCTGATAGAGCTGGACAAGTGCATGTTTATAAGATTTTTCCCTTTTCTTGTATAAGCTCAACATTAGCTTCCTAGCCTAGTGGTGGTTGGGGTGAGCCACAGTGTGGCCCACATGCCCATGAACAGGGGGTTTTAGTGGCTGTCGGAACTCTCCTCTGTCATGTGCTTTCTTAATCCAGGTGACTTTGGCGTCACTTCTAGGAAACAGTGATCACAGTATCATTGAAACACACTGACAAGTAATTCACTAATAATGTTTTATGTTTTTTTTCCCTCCCCCAAAAAACCAGAATGACTATCCAATTGGGATTACTAAAGAGATCACCCTTTGTACTGAAAAAATCATGTTTTCAGACCTGAGAAGTCTACAGCTCAGGAAATCCATGGAAATAAAGGTATTTGTTTAGTCTCCATAGAAATCTAAGCATCTGTATATTTTTATTTTCCCATTTCCTGTTTTTCACTTGAGTTTCTGTGGTAGCTGCCATATTTATCTGATTGTTTGCAACACTTGATTTTGCATCTTAGTTATGACGATTTAAGAAAATCACATTGGCGTTATGTTCCCAGTGAATTCTTGCATCTTTTCTGTCTTTGAAAGGGTACAATTACTGAATTCAAGCACCCAAGTGACTTTTATGTGCAGTTATATTCTTCTGAAGTTTTAGAATACATGAACCAGCTTTCCACCCGCTTAAAAGAAACCTATGCCAATCTGCTGGAGGAGGAAGATTACATCCCTGTGAAGGGGGAGGTCTGCGTTGCCAAGTATACTGTGGATCAGGTAACCCCTCAGGAAATGAATTGTTTAATAAACTTTGCTTTGGCCATATCAGCTCCTGAACACCAGAGCATTAAATGATGCATTGACTGGCTTAAATCCAGACTGGTTGCACTCTTGTTTCTCATCTGTGCTCTGCTTGGGTACCCCCCCGCTCCCGGACCCCCAAGTCTAGCCGTCTCCAGAAGCTGCCTGTAGGCTCCTAAGGGGCAGGTTGTAAACTGAGTGCTAGTCGTTTGTTGCTGCAGCTGAGGCTTTTAAGTGTGTGATAGAATCGACTGGTCTAGAAGAATGCTGGAGACACTGTGCATACTAAAGTGTCTTCACTAGACAAATTTGACTGAGTTAGGTTTTCGTTGAGTACCTCAGAACTGAACAGAAGACTCTCTTTCGCATGAGACTGGATGGAGTCCTGATATGTCGCTGTAGGATAAGCACTTGACCACAACGTCAGTTTGAACTGCAAGGTCGGCAGTTCAAATTCACCAGCCGCTCTTCAGAAACCCTACACAGTGAGCCGGAACTAGCTCAACAGTACTTAACAACAACAACAACAAATAGGTTGGATGGTCCTGGTTTGGCACAGTAGGATCAGCACTGGACTGACTGCTAACCACAGGGTCAGCAGTTCAAACCCACCAACCACTCCTTGGAAACCCTATACAGGGTCACTATGAGTCAGAACTGACTCGACATACTTAGCAACAGCAACGACATAGGTTGGGTGAGGGTCATTTTTTATTCCTTTAAACCTGGTGGTATGCCGTGGAGTCGGTTCCGACACATAGCGACCCTGTGCAGGGCTGTAAATCTTTACGGGAGCAGAAAATCTCCTCTTTCTCCTGCAGAACTGCTGGTAGTTTCGAACTGCTGACCTTGAGGTTCGCAGCCCGATTCGTAACCACTACGCTAGCAGATACTGTTGTAAGCAGAGCCCTGTTGTTGTCGCCCCTGTAGAGCTGGAACAGAGTCATCATACAGGATGTGGATATGGTGCAGAAGAAGGCCCAGGTGCTGTATATTGATTACGGGAATGAAGAAGTTCTCCCAGTGAACAGAATCCACCAACTCAACAGAAACATGGACTTGTTTCCTCCTTGTGTGAGTCTCTCTTACTTTCTCAATCCCTGGAAGTGCCCCAAGGAAGCTGTTTTTCGTGTCTTCATGGACATACTGTGTGTGCTCGTTCTCTTGTGACACAATCTGATGTTCACAAGACCTCACTGCTCTGGCTTTTGCTGTGGAGACCAGCATTTCTTGGCTGTTGTGGCTCCATTTGGAGTATGCCTTATTTAAGTTAAGTACTGTACTGTCTTGGGTGGTGGGGAATAGTTAGCAATTTTAGGCACATCTTACCAAATTGCTCATGAAAAAGCTACTTCTATGTTGGTTTCAGAGTCCTGGTGTGGCGCTGTAGAATAAGCTCTCGATCGCAAGGTCGGTTTGAACCGCAAGGGTGGCAGTTCAAACACACCAGCCATTCCTCAGAAACCCTATACGAGGTCACTTCGAGTTGGAAACGACTCGATGGCACTTAACAGCAACAACAAAATGTTGGTTACAGTTACTGGAAAGTGGACTGAATATATGCAAAAGTTTAAGGTTAATTTTGTTTTTGCCTTTCATGAATTCCTCAAGTTTCAGGCCCCAGAATTTTAAGCACTGAAAAGAGTGAGTGCACCAAGAAAGACAAATAATTACATTTAAAAAACCAGTTTCTCTGATTTTCCTTAAATTTTCAGTCTGAAATAGATTGTCTTTGAGAGTTCTTCAAATCCTTGATTAGAACGAGTCACTTGTAAATTTTGATTGTTGTTAAGTAACCAGGGCAAACTCTTTCAGGCCATAAAGTGCTTTGTGGCCAACGTTGTCCCGGCTGAGGGGAATTGGAGCAACGATTGTATCCAAACCATCAAGCCGCTGCTATTGGACCAGTACTGCTCCATCAAGATCGTGGACATCTTAGGAGAGCACGTGCTTGCCTTTGCTGTAGACTTTAAGTTACCAAGTTCAGGTAAGAGTGGAGTCCGTCTGTAAATTAGGCACTGAATGGTCACCCTGTCTCTCTTTACCTCTTCCTCAGAGAAGAAGCAGAACCATAACATGAGGACAGCTGAGACCCTCTCTGGAGTTGTTGGAATTGTGTCTGAAGATGTGACGTGGGTCTTTCTCTTGCAGCTGGCAGTTTGTCGGGGAGGTAGTAACAGATTCGTAGGATGGAGGGGCTAGAGGACTAGATCTAGACATGTTGCTATGGTGTACCATGGAGCCACTTCGGACTCATAGCGATCCTGTGTAGGGTTTCTGAGAGCGGCTAGTGGGTTTGCATCACTGGCCTTGAAGTTAGCAGTCCAGTGCTTACACTATATATATGCCACACCAGTGTTCTCTCTATATATTCCTATATATACTCTATGGGTATTACTGTACTGTCCTTGTAATAGATCCTTAATGGCAGTTCCCGGGTTCAGCTAAGGGTTACGCGCTCAATGACTAAATCAAAAGGTTGGCAGTTTGGACCTTGGAAGAAAGGCCTGGTGCTCTGTGTCTGAAGGCGGAGCCTTGACAGTCCTATGTGAGTGCAGTTCTGTTCTGCAGCCCATCAGGCCTCCTCAAGTCACAGTCGGCTCGACAGGAATTGATTTGTTCGTGGACTTTTTTTTTTTAATAGCCATTATAGTGTCGGCTGGGAGTGTGGTGGCTCTGTGGGATAAACACCAGACTGGGAACCACAAAATTGGCTGTTCGAGTCCACCAGCCGCTCTGAGGGAGAACGCTGAAGCTCCTGTCAGGTCTTACAGCTTCTAAAACCCTCTGCAGGGTCGCTGTGAGATGGCTCTTAACAGCAATATAATACCCATGCCTGTTTTCTACTTTTTTCTGGAAAGGGACTCAAGCATTTCTCTGTCCGTTCTTTTTTTTTTTTTTTTAAGAAAAGACACCCTTTTTATTGTCAATTGTGTGAAGTTTTACAGAACAAATCATCAGTCCCATATTCAACAAATCATAAACTTCATGTTATTACAATGATTGCAATCTCTTCATTGTACCATCAGTTAACAGTATTTACCTCTATTTTTTAAAATGTTTTATTGTGAATTATGTAATATTTACATGGGAGAACATTAGCTTTACATTCATCCTATCATGTGTCCATACAATCCCCTCCATGCATCACCAAAGGGTATATATACACACAGCCCCCCCTCCCCCCGGGTCTAGAGTCCCAAGCTGCTCCATCTCTCCACGTCATCGAGCATCGAGTATTGAGTATTTACCTCTATTCACTTTAACTCTTGCACTCCTCCCTATGTCTTCTGCTACCTTCATCTTTCCAGTGCCAACCTCCCTCTGGTTGTATATTAGCTTCCCCATCACCCAAGTGAATAGTTTTCCCTTCCCTCCCACTCCTAATAACCAGCATCGAATGTTTCTTTTATCAAGAAAACTTTCTTTTTACAACAGTGGGCTCATACAATACATGCCCTTTTGTGATTGACTAATTTCACTCAGCATAATGTCCTCCAGCTTCATCCGTGTCATCCATACATTTTATTAATTTAGTTTATTGTTCTCCTCTCTTCCTGCTCAGAATGTAAACTCCGTGAGGGTAAAATGTATGCCTTTTTTGTTCACAAATATAGCTTCAATACTTGCAACTATATCTAATGTGTTAGTAAGTGTCATTGAGTCGATTCTGACTCATAGCAACCCTGTGTAGGTTTTCTTAGCAGCAGCTGGTAGGCTTGAACCACCGACCTTGTAATTCAAACCAACCTTGCGGTCCGGTGCTTTATCTTACAGCACCAAACCGGACTTCATATCTGATATATAGTAAGTTTGTTGTTTTTTTTAAGGTTTTTATTGTGGATTGAATGAAAGTTTACAGGGCATAGCATCAGTTTTACATTCAACAATTCATATACCTTGTTTCATTACACTGATTATTATCCCCTCCATGTACCATCAGTTAACAGTATTTCTCTCTATCCACTTTAGCTTTTTAAAAAACACACAAACAAAAAAACCCACTCAGGCATATATA